TTACCATCCCCCGGCTCATAAGGTCCTGGTTGGACGTGGTTATTGGGAAATCGAGCGCATGCTTGTACATCTTCCTGAGAATCACCTCAAGGGCGTTCTCGTCAAACTTGCGCCGGTGGAGATAAGGAGCCGAGTAGATGACTCAACTGGTCACGAATTCATGCGCCAGCCGCAAGGCATCTTTGCAACGTAATCCCCCGCGCTAGTTGGAAACCCGGTGGACCATACGGCCCACCTGGTCCCCCGCCTTACGCGGTTTTGCCAATGTTGTATCGACTCGGCGATATTTATGAATAAACAGACCCGGTACTCTGATCTCATCATGTTCTGGGATGAGTCCGCTTCGTACGGACAGTTCTATTTTGGCAGTACACTTTGCCGAGGGGCGTATGTGCACATATTGCGATTTGGTCGGGGAGCATTGGAGGCCGCAGCGACGTGTGCAGGCGTCCACGATCACCACCGCTTGCTGCAGGTTGGCTTCTATGTCTCCTACCGATCCGCGTTTCGCCCATATGGTAATATCGTCGGCATACAGCGCGTGCTGTATGCCTTCGACAGTATCCAGCTGAGCCGGTAGGCTCATCATCGCCAGATTAAACAATAGTGGTGAGAGGACCGCGCCCTGTGAGGTACCTCTCGTTCCTAATTGGTAGGGGCCGTGTTCTTCATCTTGTATTCGGATGTATGACTGTTGGTCAGAGAGGAATCGTCGAATGTATTGAAACATGTTGTGTCCGCAGTTGGTTTGGGAAAGGTGCTTCAGTATTATGTCATGTGTGACGTTGCCAAAAGCCCCCGTCAAATTAAGGGCGAGCACTGCCTTGCCATTAAGAGGGTATTCGACAGTTTATAATTTCGCGGTCTAATTGAAGCAGGACATCCTGTGCGGAACGGTGCGGGTGGAACCCGAACATTGTGTCTGCAAATATGTGTTGGTTTTCGAAAAACTTGGACAAGCAATCTCGCGCCATAGTCTCCATCAGCTTTCCCGCACAAAACGTGAGAGATATGGGGCGAAGGTTGTCCGTGTTTATGGCCCCGCCACGGTGGTCTAGTGGCTAAGGTACTCGGCTGCTGACCCGCAGGGCGCGGGTTCAAATCCCGGCTGTGGCGGCTGCATTTCCGATGGAGGCGGAAATGTTGTAGGCCCGTGTACTCAGATTTGGGTGCACGTTAAAGAACCCCAGGTGGTCAAAATTTCCGGAGCCCTTCACTACGGCGTTTCTCATAATCAAATGGTGGTTTTGGGACGTTAAACCTCACATATCAATCAATCATATCAATCAATGTCCGTGTTTATGGATTAGCCGGCTTTCATAATGAAAGTGACCAGGGTGGTCTTCCATACGATTAAAATGGGTGTCCCGCCAAGCCATATTGAGTTTATGTACCCGAAGAGTGCGTCGTAGGCCGGGTCGGGAAGGTTGCCAAGTGATTTTACTGTTACTTTGTCTCTCCCTAGCGCCGTTCCTCGCTTCATTTTAGTCAGGGCCGCCTTCAGGTCACGGAGCTGGAATGGTTGATCCAGCTCCTCGTTCTCGGAAACTGCATACGAGTACGCTGGCCCTTGGGTGTCATGTCGGACGCAGAGGTATTGATCGCGTAGTTTGCATGCTAATTTTGAGGTTCTCCATCGAAGGCATGGATTGCCCGTTGTAGATGTTTTTTTGACCCAATTCGAGTCGGCGAGCTGGGCCGCGTACTCTGCCACTCGTTGGGTGAGCTCGGCAATGCGAATTTTGAGCTTCCGATTGTGTTTTTGGCAGCGCCATCTGCGGGCGAGGCTGTGCCACACGTCCCAGAGGTGAAGGAGGTGATTATCCACCCCAGGCGTAGCCTCTGAGAGTTGAGCTTCAGTTTCCGTCGAACGAAGGTGTGTGACCGATTCTTGTGACCATGCGTGGTAACCTGTTTCAAGAGTAGGGGCCAGATTAGTGTAGGTTTTTCGAAACTTTGTCCAGTCGGGTATGCGGGCTTCGGCATAGGGTCTTGCTATTGGTTTGGTTGTGAAGGTGGTGTTGAGTATGCAGTGGTCACTGCCGAGGGTTTTCTCTGTGATGGACCAGTCTGCATGTCTAATATTTTTTATGAAGGTAAGGTCCGGACACGTGTCCCAAGTCACGGAGTTATACCCGCGTTGTATGGGCAGGGTCAGTGTGAAGAGTGAGGCCCAGCGTGGACACAAGGTCCACCAACTTGCGCACACGCTTCTCATCACGCACATATCCCCATAGTGGGCTGTGAGCGTTAAAATTTCCCACGATCCCCAGGGGATCCCTGCCGACAGCCTTTAGGGCGCAACTGAAGAATTCTGCGAACGTTACATTTTTAAGTCTGGGGGAACAATATATGATAAGTACGTCGAGTGGCGCATCTTGTTTCTAAGCGGGAGAAGTTTCACCATCATGTAGGAATACACAGTTTGAAGTTCCAACTCAACAAGGTTAGCTCTATAATTTTTATGCACACAGACGAAGGAAGAAGGGTCCTGCTGGAAAGTGATAAAATTTGTAAAGGTGGCCCCACTCCCTGACTCCTAGAAGGCAACCACCACCGGAAGTGAGTCAAGAGTTGATTTGAAAAGTTTGGAAGATGCGCCCGCTTCGTGCGGGACCGAAAGCCCCGACCATTCCACTGAACAATGTTAATGGTAATGGCCGAACTGGTATTCAGTCGGCTTCAATTCACGTTGGTGTCTATGTCAGGGCACGACTTCACGTGACGTCACACCAGCTGTGCTCTTTGCGTCCCACGGTTAAACTGTCGTGGGATGCGTGGTTTCTCCATAGCAGAGCGCGTGCCACGCTCGGCCATTGCAACGGTGTGGCCAGTTTTTGCCATACCACTGCGGTCTTCATCGTTTCCATACCAGTTTCGCTTTTAAAATGATTAACACCAAGTGGTCTAAATTTCCGGAGTTCTCCACTCCGGCATCTCTCATGATCATATTGTAGTTTTGGTATTTGAAACCTCGACAATTCTTTCTGTTATTTAGATCCCATGCGTCAAGATCACGCGTCTGCATGTTGAAATCGCGTTGATTCAGATTCCATACGCTTTAAGATATTTAGGTCCCATGCTTACGGCCCGAGTTTCGTTTTCACAAGGCTGCGCGCCAGGTCTGTGCATAGAACTACGGACTCTGCAGCCGGCATCGTTCTTGCGTGTGGATGGTGCTAATGGTGGCGGTGGCTGCTTTGATAAGTTCGTCATTTCCCCGACGAATCATAATGAAGTCTTTTCTATAATAAAGTATTTTCTTTATCTCTCTCCGCGACGAATCAAAACCTCCCATCTTTCTCTCTCGGCCAGCCCCACTATAGTCTTTCTCCACGCCATTGCCTATTGGCAGGTGGTTAACTTCACGTGACCATACATGACCTACCGTGATAGCCTGGACGTTGTGTCTGGGCTGCACTCGGACGCGTAAATTTTTGTGCTGCTTTGCGCGCATGCTGTGCTTAGATTAAAAAAAGAATACATGCTGTAAGGGGCGTCTCGGCGGGAGTCCGGTACTGACAAAAAATAAAGAAAAAAAAAGAACAAAGGGCTGCCGCCGTCTTGGCCTACCCGTAAAGAAAGACAAAACTTTATTGAAAGTCAAAGGCTGGGAGACTAGCCCTATGGAAATCCCTTTTCCTCAGGTGGTATAGCCTTGACTTGTCTTGGCGGAGTCGTAGCTGCAGACTTGGTACTCCAGGTATTTGGCAAGAGGCGTAGCCCCCCTCCCCCCTGCTCGGTTGTGGTCATTATAAATGTAGCATTGATGCTGTGTATGTCAACATTTGGTGTTCCTAGGCATGCCCACGTAATGTGACCCAAATCTGCGCGTACCGTGTTTTTCGGTGCAGTGTTAAGGCGTCGGAGTTTATGTGATGGTGAAGGGCCGTGGTAGGAAAAGTGAACATCCGGAGTCGTCACATAGTCCGTACTTGCTTGTTGAGACAACCCAAACGTATCTTGTGAGGTACCTTTTACGCAGACACAAGTGCAAATGTTGGTGGAGGAGCGGAACGAATTTGCATTTCGTGCACTCAGCAATGTGTATAGCAAAGAATCTGATGATTAAGAGTGCTGCTTGCGGTCATTGCGGCAGCTATGAAACTATGGAGCACGTTCTCTGTCATTGCCCTTGTTACAGCATGCAAAGACGGCAACTAGCTGCTGCGTTAATACGCCTTGACGACAGACCTTTGTCTGAACAATCAGTGCTTGAAAGGCGACATGATTTGTGTGCTCACAGAAAATCAGGGAAGGCCTTACTGAACTTTCTGCGTGGCCGTGACCTATTGTATAGACTATAGCACCCCCGCCCCCCCCCCCCCCCTTTTGTTGCGCGCGTCTATTTCCCTCTTCGCTTTCTTTCCCATCTTTCTTCCCATTCCCCCTTCCCCTACTGCAGTGTAGCAAACTGGATGCTCCATTTTCTGGGTAACCTCCCTGCCTTTCCCTCATTTTATTCTCTCTCTCTCTCTCTGATGAATAAGATCATTCGCGAGTGTGAGAGTAATTGTATCCTAGTCCTGGTGTGATTTCGCGCCTAAACGCCCCATTGTTCTTTCAATACCTTCTTTGTTGGTTTTTTAGCGATACCCCGAGCTTTCCTTGAGAATGGAAGGAATCTGTTATACGGCGGAAGGACAACTTTAACGGACTCCTTTGAGGAAAAAGCTCCTTTAAAGAAGTCTATTTTTTCAAATCCCAGGACGTCCAAATGATGGAGCATTCTTTATCTATAACTAGTTCATAATTTTTACATTTCAGTACGAAGTGCTGAGTCATTTCAGAACCTTTGCTCTCGAAACGCCAACACCAATTAACTGTCTTATTCTCCTGCGAATATTTGCAGTGCGGCAGTGAATCGAGCTCCCCATTTGTATCCACAGCACATAGCCACTAGGTGGTTGTGGTCAGCAAATTAACAGTGCGTTCAAAGTCACGTTTGGGTGCGGCACTTTTCAACTGCCACGGTTGTACACACAGGAAGCACGACAACGTTGGTGAGAGTCGTCTCTCTTTATTGTAACAAGGTGACTCACTATTCATGATCAGAACACTGACACACACTTTGCGGTTTGTGCGACCTTAAAGCAAACCAAAAAAAAAAAAAAGATAGATACTGTGCAAAAATAAAACCACTGACTGTGTTCTAACGGCACAAAACATAACACTGTGCGACTCACTCGTCAAGTCCGACTCTAAGTTTTCTCAGCAGGAACTCGCGCGAACAAACAATTCTGTCGCGAAAATGCGACCTCGTCGGTGCACACAAATCCAGCTCTTAGAGGGTTCGCAACCATTCCCACTGGGCGAGATAACAAGAACCTAAGTACAACTGTTGCGCAGGTGCGAGTCGTACTGAGACCCGAACACTGCGTAAATTCAATTAATGTTATATAGAGTTTCATACAACGATCATCCGAAAGAAATTTGATGCTTCAGTCTACAGGAGCTTCCTCGGAGCATGTTCAATGCGTGCGTGACTTTTTTTATATACTTGCTTCAAATGAATTGGGGACCTCTTAGAGTAGCGTTTTCAAGAAACGTTCTGTTCGTAAATTTGTTCCATGCTGATAAATTTCGTTCTCGAAAGCAGCGAGTTGACTGTTTATAGCAACAACTGCGAATGTTCAAAAAGAAGATGACAAAACAAGATATACAAACAAGGTAGATTGTCATACAAACAAGGTATATTGTCATTATTAAAACCACCGGCTTGAACGAAGCGCATAGTGCGAGTGATAACTCCTTCGGTGATAACTCCTTCATATATGTTACTTTCTAAGATTAACGACTAAAGTGCTCGCAGACGCCAGCCAAACGAAGACCTTTGTGCAAAGAGAGTCTGGTGCACATAAAATACAATGACCAGTTCACGAGAAATAAATACCGAAAGCTGGTATCCGGCAAACACCATGAATTCAGGACGACCATTTACTCCCTTCCCAGTGAGGCTGGACTGTTAAAGCACTGGGCAGCCAATTAGTGATATTTGTACCAAACTCTGTGTTTCGTAGTCTCTCACATAAGGTTACACGCTGGCGAACGCTGTAGTGAGACGAATGTCGTGACGTCGGTGCTGAAATTGCGGATACTGTGCTTTGCTATAATAAGCCTGCGGGCTTTCGAAGCGGGATAATTCGTTGGTCTAAATCACATCCAGGAACACTCGCCCTCCTCGAGCACAGCTGAAGGAAGGTCGGCTGCGAGCGCGGATTCTCGCACAGTCCTTGCGTTCACTCGTCCACGCCGGCTCGTCACGTAAGTGACGGGCTTTCTCTCTCTCTCTCTTTCTCTCGCTCACGAGTGTTGCGTCATGGACTTGGTACACCCCCGTGAGTTCACTCAGCCGAAGTTCCCAAAAAGGTTTCCGAAACCGGACTTTATGGAGTTCCACATGGAAGGTGCTCGCTGAAGTGACGATGGAGCCAGGAAGAAGCTTAGCGCCGACGAGTCCGGATGCAGGAACTCTTCCTCCGAGAATATCTGAAGAAAAACCAAGGAGTCAAGGCAAAAGAAAAAGAACACACATAAATAAATGGAGGCATGCCAGAAATGCAAGCTACGGGCTTATCCCGTGCTTTCGAGCTTAATCTTGCAATACAAATGAAGTGCAATTTATGTAAGCAGACATTGATACGTAGGAGAGACACTTACACGCGCAATCAATTTTTTTTTTAAGAAGTCGGGATATAGAACATTCGAATTTATGTTGCACAGAGGAGGAGGAGGAAGAAACAACTTTAATGATACGGTGTGCGGGCGCATAAATTTGACGCATAGCAAAATTATGAAAGGCCGTTTTTTAGTCTGAGAAGATATGACAAAATACGTCTCAGAGGCTGTGGCTTTCTGTAGGTATGACACGGAGACGCAAGTTGGATTTTCAATCGCGGCTATTTGCATTTGCCTGGCGAGTCTCAAATGTTAGTTCACAGTAGATTTTACACTTAGAAACTCGATATCCATAGCATACGAGAGCCATTATACGGTTAATGAGTTATTCGCTCCACTATCGGTTGAGAGACGTCGCTAACACAATCTTTAAAAAGGCCCTCCAACGCTTGAAAACATCGGTGCCGACTGCATCACTCGTAGTGGCGCTCGCCAGAACTACTGCGAACGGAAATCATGCCGGAAGGTTGCCGCCATGTGATTGGATAAGTGTAACGTTAAATGCGTATATATATATATATATATATATATATATATATATATATATATATATATATATATATATATATATATATATATATACGTAATTACAAAACGAAAGATAAGTAAAGCTACAAAATATTATAGAAGCGTTAGCGAGCTGGCTCGTTTCGCACGCACCGTATCATGCACATTGTTTGTCACAATCGAAACGGCGTCCTTAATACGGTGGACGTAACAGCCAATATGTCATGCGAGCTTCCTACGGGGTAGTTTCTACCCACCCGCATCTCAAGCTGCGTATCGTGGACGTGCCAATGACACTCTCGACCGACCAATAACGGTGGACGAAGTTTACGCAGCCATTCGCAGCAGCAATCGCAACACAGCGGCTGGGGCAGACGGAATCACGTACTCCCTTATCAGGAACCTCACCGACAGCGCCGTACAAGAAATCACGGCGTTTTTCAATGATCATTGGCAACGTGGCACGCTTCCTCCTGAATGGAAGCACGTGGAGGTCATAATGATACCGAAGCCGGGCAAAAAACTTCAGATCGAAAACCTCCGACCAATATCCCTCACTTCCTGCCTTGGTAAACTCTTCGAGCGCGTCATCACTAATCGCGTGCAAGATTACCTCGAAGACAATGACCTTTTCCCGCACTCAATGTACGGGTTCCGAGCACATCTTTCAACGCAAGATGTACTGCTACAATTAAAAGAAGTCATTGATAACGCCCCCCTGCAAGGAGAAAACATTATCTTGACTTTAGACATTAAGGGCGCATTTGATAACGTTAGCCACCAGGCCATACTTGAGGGCCTCGAGGCCCTTCATTGTGGGCGGCGCGTCTACAGTTATGTTCACGCCTTCTTGTCGCACCGCACTGCCACAGTCGGTCACGGCTCCATCCAATCAGATGTTATCAAGGTTCCGAACAAGGGCACCCCGCAGGGCTCAGTGATTTCCCCGCTACTCTTTAATGTAGCTATGGTTGGCCTGGCACATGAACTCCACTGCATCGATGTCATCAATCACGCAATGTATGCGGACGATATCACCGTCTGGGCCACGCGGGGGTCTCTTGGAGAAAAAGAATATAACCTGCAGCAGGCAGCCACATGCGTCGAACAATACGCGCAGGCACGAGGCCTGGCCTGTGCAACAGAAAAATCTGAGCTTCTACGAATTTATCGACGCAAGCTCCCACCATCGACGCAGAAAAACCAAGGCTCCCGCCTCCAGGTTGTCCTTGCTGGCAAACAAATCCCAGAGAAATCTACCATTCGAATATTAGGCATGTGGGTACAGTCGAACCGTCATGTGAATCACACACTTTCCCTTCTCCGCGCCACTACACTGCAAGTGGCCCGAATGATATCTCGGGTAGCCACTCGTCGCCATGGCATGCGCGAGGAGGACACCCTGAAACTCATACGTAGCCTCGTGGTCAGTAGGGTGACATACAGTTTGCGCTACCAACGCCTCACCAAGAGCGAACAGGGCCAAGTAGACGCAATGCTCCGCAAGGCCTACAAAGCGGCACTCAAGCTGCCACCGGGTACTCCTTCTAGCAAGCTCCTCGCATTGGGCCTACACAACACCTTTGAAGAACTTTGTGAAGCGCAACTCGCCACACAACTGCAACGGCTCAAGCAAACACCTACAGGCCGTGACCTGCTCCTACGCCTCGGCTACATCAGCCAGTTTCACGACGCAGCTCGTCGCAAGCCCATTCCGGACCAACTTCGTGCCACTTATAAGGTCGCTCCCATCCCCCGCAATATGGATCCCCGACTACATCAGGGCCGGAGGGAAGCCAGAGTGGAAGCCCTCGAGCGAACTTATGCACACAAAAACACTACGTACTATGTTGACGCCGCCAACTACGACCATGCAAACAATAAGGCTGCAGCCACAGTCGTGGACCACACACTCACAGAACGTACCAGCGCTTCCGTGCGGTGCCGCAACATCACCGATGCTGAAGAAACTGCCATCGCGCTCGCTCTCGCCCTCGGCTACAGACAACGAAGGTCGCCGACAGTTCTCACGGACTCTCAAGCAGCTTGCCGCAACTACCTACAGGGGCGCATCAGCCAACCCGCTCTCAGCGTCATCACGAGCGTTACAGACACTGGCGAGCATTCCATTACACATCCACTCAGAATTTGGCATCGGATTATATGGACTCCGGGCCACATGGGACTGGAGGGGAATCAGGCAGCGGATAGGGTAGCTCGAGGGTATGCGAGCCGAGCACCTTCCAACTCCGCCCCTGAGGAACTCGTTCCGGTCCCTTGCGACTATTCGGCCATCCTAAACCATTACAGAGGACTTAGAAAAGCTTATTCGCTACCACACCGAACACTAGATAAAGAGGAATTGGTCAGCTGGAGGCAAATTCAAACCGGCACGTTTCCAAATTTGCACATCCTGAGTAAAATGCACCCCTCGGCATACTCTCCTCTCTGCCCATGGTGTTCAGCTAAAGCCACTCTGTACCACGTCACGTGCGAGTGTCAGGCCATTACAGCCTTACAACCAGTACAAAATCCAACAGCGGAGCGATGGGAGGAGCTGCTGGCCAGCGAGAACCTGGAAGATCAGTTGAGTCTGATCAACCGGGCCCGCAGAGCGGCTGCTGCAAGCGGAGCCCTTGACTAAGGGCCCCCCGCCCCCCCCCCCCCCCCACCGCAAGCCAAGCATGTCCGACTACTCGGAGCTTCTCCGCAGAAAATTTCATGTAAATAAATAAATAAATATGTTTTCACCACCACCACCATCCTATGCGGTAGGGCTTTCAGTTCATTTCATTTGGCAGCATTCTGGCGTGGCGTCAGAGGGCGAGGGAAACATGGTAAGGTGAGCCCGCGAAAATCGAGTTGACGGTAAGCATTCATTCCATTGTATTTTGATATCTCTACGCTGAATAACTTTGCACTGCGTGGCCCTATCACTGCCGTTCTTACGACACTTATCTCTTAAGCCTTCAGTGTACGCAACCAGCTACAAAAACACGTAAAACTATGAAGTCATGAAAAGTGTTAGAGGGCCCCTTTGGTGCTATCGCTATTCCAGGAATAGTAGATGACCGACTACCAACAATTTATTTATTTATTTATTTATTGAAATGCGACCTTTGCTGATCTTGATGGCCTAATGAGTTCCTTATCATACACTTATCACAAGGTTCAGCAAAGTTTCTTTGCTTTATTTTACCCTCACAACATTGGCTGTCCCTATGAAGCGAACCGTCAACATGACCGTCAGGAAAAGGAAGTCACGCAATCTGTGCTAGCCCGCTGGATCGCCAATACTTGACGTGGAAATAAATTACAGGTGTCGCATAGATATAGCAATAGATCAGTATCATCATAATCACCACCAGCATCATCACCATCATCATCATCAGCCTGAAAGGCCCCTCCCGCTGCAAGTTTCGAGCTGGTTGCCGTTCTTCGCGTAAAATAGCGATTTGTTGATGTTGCATTCAATGGCTCGCCCTTTTGGCGAAACAAGGCACAATAAACGCTCAACTACCTCTGTGAAAACATGTTTCACTTTCGTGTTATACGAATTTCTGAATAAGGAGATCAGCCACGTTTTTAAAGAAAAAACATCCTTCACGTTTTCATTTGTATGACCTGTACATCATCATCATCATCAACCTGTCTACGCCCACTGCAGGCCAAAGGCCTCCCTCATGGTACGCCAATCGACCCGATCTTTCCGTTGCCACGTTATCCATACGATCTTTTTAATCTCGTTGGCCCCCCTAACATTTTGTCATCCCCTTTGTGCGCTTGCCTTCTCTGGGTATCCAGTCAGTTACGATTAATGACCAGCGGTTATCCTGCCTACGTGCTACGTGCCCGGCCCATATTCATTTCTTCTTCTTCTATCATTTTTCTCTCAATCGCTCGCTGCGTCGTTCTCAATTATAACTGAATTCTCTTTGTAAGTCTCCTGGAGCAATAGATATCTGATGTCAAATGCAAAAAGGCGACTGGAGCATCGGGTCTCGATTTGTTATTTCTTCCGAGGACGTACTAGGGCGTTTAGCAGAACGTTGAAAGTTCTTACAGAATAAACTCCCCTTAGTGTTATCGCTAAACTTTGCGAATGCGCCACGTTCTGTAACTCATAGTATACGAAACGCCTTCCGACTTAGTATATGAACCCAACTTCACAATTTTTATCATCACAATCATAACTGAACGCTTCGAAGGACTGATTTCTCACCTAACTGAGCAAACCATAAATGTTTTGCGGGAAAAACTACAACATTAAAAGATGAGAAAGTATAGGGGATACTTGAACTGGCCCAGCTAATAACGAGAAAAAAGAAACGGCCGAGATGGCAAAAAAAAAAAAAAATCATCCGCATCTTCCCACAAGGGGTAACTCAAGTAAATGCGTCACAGAGTGGGGGGAAGGGGTATCGCGTGAATGTTGCGTAATTCAGTATGGTCTTTCGTCTTTATTAGTATTTCGTCAGTCGTCTTTATTATTATTAGTATTTTATTAGTATTTCGTCTTTATAATTTCTATTTATTGGATGAAGGAGAAGCATTGCATTCAATGAGTGCCGGGACGCTGATGTTGAGTTGTGCTTCTCGACTGGTTAAAAGTACTGTTGCTTTCATCGCATCAACTCAAGTCAAGCAAAGCGTCATGTCAAGCGAAAGCCAGGTAAAGACGCCCTTGACTGAATTCCGAACGCACGTGCAGCGCGAGCAGTCAGTTTTTTACTAGCAGAGAGAGGCGTTCAGGAAAGGAAAAGACGCAGCTTCTGCAGCGTCTGCACGGCTCAGCAGACGCGGCGTTCGCTACACCCGCCGAGCCTGCTGAGGACCCGCGGGACGCCCTCATCGCATCCCTGCTCGCTGCTCTGCGCTACCCGCCGACTACCCGTTGCGTGCCTTTCAGCGCTCGGCGGGCACGTCGGATCCACGCAACTCAACTAAGAGTCCTGCTGCTGGGGCAGAAATGCCCCCTCACTTCGAGAAGTTCCAGCGGACTCTCGTACACCGCTGGCTACTGTGATTGCAGTGACAGCTGCGCCTCTCTACTTCTTCACCTATTTCATTCTTTCCTTTTTCTCCCTCCTTCCCCCCTCCCCTATAAGGCACTGCGCTGTGTCGCGCTTCAGGCAGAATTAGGTGCCCTTTTCCTCTTCCTTTAAAACCACTTGCACAACCACTCACACACGCTGCCTGCGCCGGCCTTGCGAGGCGGGAGAGGGGAGCAACAGTTGTCACGAGACGCGAGCATGCGGCATGAGACGTGAGCATGTGCAGTGGGGGTGTGGAAACGGAGGCGGCACGCACATGAAGGCTCCTTATAGTGCTGGCCAGCTCGGCCGTCTTTTCTTTCCCGTTACGCGTCGAACCAGTTCAAGTGCGACAAATCAACTAGCCCGATCTCCAACACTTGTGAGTCCAGGGAATTTGTATTAACTGCTGTAAATTTGTAGTAAATATGATATGCAAATTAGAAGAAAGTAAAGGGCCCGAAAAGGTAACTTGAGGGGCCGACAGGGCCTGCTACTTTTGAATCAGGCATGATCTACTATTAGGGCTACAGCAGCAGTCGTCCCCCCCCCCCCCTTTATTGGGTATATTTGTCCATTTAAACCTGGAAGCATAAGCGCCCATCGCAGTCATGGCGGTGGAACACTTTTCTGCCTGCTGGCGCCACATAGCTCGTGGTCTCTGTATGAGCGAGCAGCAGTTTTTCTTTGTTAACACAGTTTTAATGAGAGCTGGAAAACAATTATACCAAGGAAGATATAGGGGATTTTATTTGTCTATAGACAAATAACATCCCCTATATCTTCCTTGGTAATATTGTTTTCCAGCTCTCATTAAAACTGAGTCTAACAAAAAAAAATTATGCCTTTAAAATTTACACTTCTGTCCTTCATTGAGAGAAGATGAAAAACCCCATGCCGAAGTCGTCGAAGACGTCATTTCAGAGATCTTCGCTATACCTACCACAAAACTGAACGCTTACGCATCACTTACACAACTCTTAAATAAAATTCTGCGCGAAGTTCTTTTTTTTTTTCACACATGTAGCTGTTTTACTGATCATAAATGGTGTTTGCTTTCATTTCACTTAGCGATACAACATATCCCTCAATGAACTTCCTTTTAAGCACAACACCTACGTTCGCCTATAGGTTGCATGAGGTTCAGCAATGCATTAAAGGAAACTTTGATTTCAGTTATGGAGATGTTAAAAGTGTTCCCGTATTCTCTTAAAAAGTGCATGTGGATAGTGCATGTTCAATCAAGAGTTATAAGGTATATATTTATCAGCTTGGAAATAATTACAGAAAGAAATATGGCTAGTTTTTCATTAATATACCTCTGTTTTATTTCTCGCATCTGCCATTCGTTACGATCAACAACGAAATGGTTGTACAAGCAAGTACATGCTTATACGCATATACATAATTATTTTTTATGGGATTATAGTCTCTGATATGAGCCTGGTGATAAATATTTCAAGTTTCAAACCATGTACTTTATGTACACAAAGGTCATAAAGACAACCCAACCTGCAATAATTGATCTTATTAAATTATCTGACAACCAGGTTAATCCTGGCATTGTAATGATGCTCATTGTTATGAGCGTGGTTTCGATCGGTATATACTACGTGCCCATAATGAAAAATATATCTTTAGTTTTAATACTTACAGATCATGAAATGCGGTACTCATTCTTCTGAGCAGAATCCTAATGTGAGAAAGAATGAAAGCAAAAAAAAGGAATTGTTTGTTTTCTCATTGGCAATTGAGAGTTAAACCTTCTTCATGAAGGACTAAAGAAGCTAGGCCTGGGACATTCTACTTAAAGGTAGCCCTTTCCTAATTAGAAATCATGAAGTACGAGTTGTATTGAATGCTTCGCAAGCTATGAAATAATGTAATGACCAGCATGCGACGCGAGCCCGACATTTGAAGACTTCAGCAGGTTAGATCAGCTCTCTAGAACTTCTGCTCACACTTATGTGCGGGTATTAAGTCATACTGCCGCGAGCATGGGATGGAACAAGGGATCACCAAGTTATCTACCAATACAGAGATCTAGTGTGACTGTGGATTTCCATTCACAAAAGGGGTTACCCAGTTCAGCGCTACTTTGGCCCTACGTCGCCTCAACGATGTCAACTACTAAGTCCTTCCTGAAGACATGACCCGGCGAACCCCTCGCTCATGCAAGCATACATTGTTCATGGAATGGTGATTGACGGCGCCCTACCGCCAATGACTATTCTTCCATTCAGATTAGATAATCTTTTGAACACCTCTACTATGCTGCATCATGTATGTCTAAGTGTGCGTGCGTGATTACCTTCTGTTCTAATCACCATTGAGCATCGGGAAGATGTTTTTTCTACACACTCACGCAATCAAAATATAAACTGCTGAAGCGGTTTCAGCTGTGTGAAATGCTTCGTTTCTGATAACGTTTTCGAAAATAGGGGACGCAATTCCAACCTTTTCAAATTGTTTGAATGAAATTTATCAGTATTCAACTTTTAAAAGTTATGGAATATTTTTTTATGAATGTTCGCAGTCAGTCTTTAAAATACATTCCTATAAAGACCTAACTTAACATTCATTCAGCAGTTTTCCATCCGACTGCGCCAGTACTTCCTGTACAAAGCTTAAATTCACAAAAAAGGTTGTGTTTTCTGCATGGTATAACAATCTGCCTTTCTTCTATGTATACACCTATCTAAAGATATTGTCACACTAGTATAAATAAACTTCGTTTTACAGGGACCACTTTCACAATTCACTTTGAAGTTCAGTGATTCCGACTGTATAAATAAGACGTATTGGATTCTGTTTTATTATGAACTACTACAAACCGATTCACTTCTCTTTAAAATGCAATAAAATCATGCTCAGCATGCAGTTTTGTTTTTACATAGGTGATCAAAATAAATGTGCGTGTGTCATTACCTCGACTTGACACACTTTATGTATAAAAATGATACGTATAGTCGGTGATGTTAGGACCCTAAAACTTCTCTTTTAGGAGTTAAACGCAATAGCGACATCCTGTTCGTAGTGCCTACTCCAAACACTTAGGGCATGAAGCCTTTTCAAACTTGCCATGCACCTACTACGTGTTAAGGAAATAGACGCAGTAGAGCGCTTGCCTTTTGTCATGGGCGACCGGCTTCTAAATGACATTGCATCAATCGGTGATAACTGTCACTTTTGCGAAGCGCTTACAGCCATTGCATAATACTAGTCCATTAGAATTTTGTTCATTGTTGTTGACCCTTGAAGTCCTTTTTTTATTTTTTTGCTTGTATTCTTACCTACTACCCTCTGTAACTTCAATGTGCTTGAAGGTGAATGAAGGTAATCAAATCAAATTAAATGAAACATCTCCAGTGCCACCATCATACACAGGTCAGAGATAAAGATAAGAAGTGAGAATACTGCGTTCTGTCATCAAGTAAATTTTCACTAGACCATTAGGAGCGCGAACACTAGGCAGTAAGATGTGCAGTCATGTAATCCCCTATAGTACTGGTGTAGTTTGAACCTGACAAACCAAACAGCACTGTCACTTAGAAAACTTGGTCAGGAAGTTAAGGAAAAGGCAGCAGATAAACAATATGGAGAAAAATTGGGTACTCTAATTGCAATTTTGAAATTCATATATATGCACAGGATTGTTTTGAATAACATTCGCTGCAGCACTCTTGACCAATCTCCAGGTTTTCCAGATAATTGACTGGTTTGGCTTGTGGTGTGCAGTCTCAAATCTCCTAAGGCTATACGAAAGACGCTGTACCTAAAAGCTAATTTCAACCAACTAAGCCGGTTTAACGCACATTTACATCAATAGTATCAATAGCATGAACTGCTAAAGCTGTGGCCGGGATCACACCCAGGTCTTTCAAGCCATCAGTGAAGCAACGTAATCACTAGGCCACCACGGAAACTGAAGATTTACAAAATAACCACAGAAGTAGTTTCAGTTTGTGGGGCGTTTGACACCTCGGTATAAAAAACTATTTCAACAGTGTTGATAGGGATAGTGTAATTATTGAACATGCAGTGTTTATAGGTGTATCTTATCAAACTGGGTAATCTACTTGTTCAAATAGGTGTCAAAGGTTTAGAATAGTGTGGAAAAAGCGAGGAGAGAAGACACAAAATGGAAGACAAGTGATTCCCACCTTCACCATCTGACACCAGAGGGCTCCTTTTTGTGGTCAGTAGATGTCCAGTGAATGTCCGAACCAGAAAGATTTGGTGCTATTGGCTGTTGGTGATGTCCAGTTAAGTGTGGTAGCATGTTAGTGATGAATTACATAGCTTCGGTGCTAGGCCAGCGTGTGCATTGCTAAAAGCGAGGACAACGGGAGCACTTACAAGATTGGCATTTACGCTTTTCACATTCACTATGTATTTGGCTCACATGTATACATGAGTGTTGTGTATTAGAATTACGGGTACGAGATTTTCAAAGGAGGGTGCTGCGAATAATTTCTGTGGGAGCATAGAAAGGATTGCTTTTGGGATGCTAGATCTTCTTTGTACCAAACAGCCGACTTGGCTGCTTCACAGCTTGCTGTTTCATGAGGATGATTACGGCACTCGTATAGATTAAATGCAATATAATTCGTTGAGCTTCGGAAAAATTTTTATCCGAGTGCCTCTTGAGTTATGATGGAAAGAACCAGCATTCATTCCTGCTTAACTGCAGGTATTGAGGTGAAGTGATAGGCATCATAACCAAAGCAGGCACAGCGCATCACCACCTCGCGTCGATATCTCTGAGCAGCCCAACACAGCAGCGAACATTAAGACTGAATGCATAGCTGTGTGGATGCGTCTCAACTTACTGTGCGATTACTCAAACAATGCTTGTCGACAGTCTTGTTCAGTGCTCCTGCCGTTCTCCTTAAATTCCTTGATGTCTATAGATGAATGTCGCGTAAAACAAGAAATGAAACAGAGGAGGTGGGTGTTTCAAGTTTATTAGTGAGATGACAGTAGAGCAGAGACAAAAAAAGGGTGCTGCGTACCCCATCACCGAGTTAGCAAGAAAAAACAGCTTAAGAAAAGACAATATGCTGATGGACATGCCGCACTCACATGTGCATTAAAGCAGAAATGACAGGTTTAGAAAAAAAGAGTGTAACATGAAAGAAGCGATAAAAGGGAGCCTGTAAGGAGCTTCGTAATGCTATGTTTCGAGAAGGCCAACCTCTCCGAAAATATTTGGGAAGATAAAAAACAAAAGAAAAACAGAAGGTGCTTTGTGTCCAGGCACACTGCCCACAATTAAAAATAATTACACACAACAGATGACAATGACTATGTTGGTGGTGATGAGCCTATGACTGTGAAAGTGCATCTTGAAATTATGATTTGCTGTGTATCTGTAAGTAGTCTCACGATATGGCTAACCAATCACTGCTTGTAGAGGCATTCTTATTCCTGGAAGTTTCCTTTGCTGAAAAATTCCTGTCACTGATTCTTAATTAATCAATGAGCAGGAAGCTGCATGTCAAATGACCTGTTCGATCACTTATTTGCTAAGAAATTCGCTTGGTTGAATATTTAGCATAAACCTATTGTCCTGAAGCAGTCATAGCCACTTCGCCAAATAAAAAATACTGTTCTGTCTAAAATACATAACACGTAAGGTTCACCTATGTCAAGCCTGGGACTTGCACTGTGGACGAACCTTAAATATATTCACATGAAAACATCTTGCACGGTAGCAGAAAAAGAAACGTAACGCAGAAGGAGATTGTGATATATGTGTGTTTAGCTTCAAATGCTGTATTGGCTGCTGACATTTGCAGTGGAACAAACATGACATTATGGTAAAAAAAATGAGCAGTGAATATGACTGGTGCACGTGAGATGAAATCATGATGACATACAGCGAAGAGAAAAGATAAGAGAGCAGCTTGGTCAGTGGCGTAGCGGTTGTGCAAATTCGAATGGGTCAGTTATTAGGCAGTGGTAGCGATTTGAAGCCGTTAAAGTAGAAGCGAGCTGGCAAAAGTGGCTCTGGTAGGATTTGTCTTATGGCGTCTAACTTATTCTCTTGGGGTGCCACCTGTGGTTCAGTCAGAAACAAAAACAGAGAAACAAAGAGAAAAAGAAGTTTAAGGAAAGGGCACACAGACAGATCATTGTCACAGAAAAAAACCGACACACAAAAGAAATAATTAAGAGTAATTTGATGCGGATGATGAAATGCATATAAGCTGAATGTTGATCATTCACCTCATCATGAAACTCACATACATATGTCAACTTTTGCTTATACATTTAGTAAAATAGCATTGAAGTGTGTTTACTAATAGGAGTATTTGTTTCTTATAAGCCCTATTTTGTACTATATTTCTGAACTCATTCTCACACTATGCAGCCATCAACATCTTTGTGGCTCTTTTAAACTGATGGTAATCGGTTACGGCTGCTCCGAGGTAGTTTTCAAATGGCGTTTGAGGTGACAAGGCTAACATTTTGCACATTGATGTCATTTTCATTGGATAAAATCAGCCACAGCTTATTTAGGTGACTGCAACACAATGCTTGCAAGTATATTATTTGTTGTACGTTGTGAAGCTACAATGGGGAAAAGCCACAACATATAATGTCCTCAATGTGCTCATGAATAGAATGGAGAGTCGCATGCTTTCTAAGCTCTTCAAGGTTGCTCAGTTTTCTTATATACGCACAGAATGTTTTGCGAACACTTAACACCTAGGCTCATTTCCTGACACAGTTACACAAGGTAATGTCTTTGTGTAAAAGCCATTAAGGTCTTTTGTTCTAAGTGATACACAGTATTCCTATTCAACCTAAGCACACAGCCTACAATCTTAGTCTCGATGTGCATAGCCGTAGAATTTGCACATATGCAAATTGGCAGTCTTTAGCATGTGTTCAGGTACACAATGTAAGTAGACGTACAAAATCCTAACTGCATTTTTGTACAGTACCTCGCATAAATTACTACCCTGAGATGTGGGCTAGAATCAACTAAAGACATGACTGCACCACAGAAGAAATACAGCACATACATGAACAAGTACACGTGAAGTGGTGAAGCGTAGCGTTCATTTAACTTTAGTCTCTTGGACTGCAGTGTAGTAGAAGAATTCAGTTTAAATATAGACACTCGTACATGCCTACTCACAGCGTTCACAATGACGAAACGCATCGCATATTTCGAAAATGCAAGCAAGCATTTGCGTGACAGCAGAATTAAGAACAAAGATATCTACAATATTAACACAGCATCAGCTACTTTCTGCATAATACTGTTTGGTATAGCACCGTGGTAATTGTTCTTTGTGTCATAGGGGTGTTACTAAAGTTTATATATTTTTGTGGCACTTTGCTGTAGAGAAATGTCTTTTCACAAACCATATCATTATATGTTCCCATTATGATGCTATCTAATCTACGATGCTTAACGTTTTCTGCACTCCCTTTGGTACCAGCCTCGATGTTAAATATTACAGTTGGGGTTTTGCACACCTAAACCACGATACGATTAGGAAAGACGCCGTAGTGGAGAGCTACGAAAATTTTGGGGACTCGGATTCTTCAGTGTGCTCCCAAATCTAAACACACGGGTCTCTAGCATTTCGTCTCCATCGAAGTGCGGCCGTCGTGGTCGGGATTTCCTCCCGCGACCTTCAGGTTAGCGGCCGAGCCCTATAACCACTAAACAACCGCAGCAGGGGGCCCAGTCGCTGGGATCACCTCAACCCGGAGAGTTATAACGGCCTATCTTTGGCTTAACATTAGCCAGTAAAACTAAAAGTGGCAAATATTTGGCCATATCATATCGCATCTTAAGGGCCACTAATGAGACGAGACCACACGAAAATTATTGCTGAAATTGTGAACAGGCGCACTTCAGTAATAAACGATAGAACATTTTCGGCGCCGGACCGGACTTCCATGACAAAAACATTCGCGTGATACTCCAACCGGGGACCATCATCATGAGGTTTGTGGTTCCGGTACCCTCCGGCCTCCCTGACGTCACCAGCCTCCGCCACATCGCCGTCGGCGGCGCCACTGCGCCTCGCGACAGACGCGGCGTGTGGCTGTACCGTCCCAGTGACGTCATTGACGGAGGCAGTGGTGGAAGGAGAGCTGGTGGTAGTGGTGTTAGTGGAAAGAGAAGAGCGTGAAGAGGTTCCGTTGCCCGGAGCAGACGTTACCGTAGGTGGCGGCACTGCGCTTTGTGCCGTGTTCTGTTCGGGCTGGAGCTGTTCGGGTTCCTCGGGTTCCTCAGTGCAAGGACTTGAGCGTCACGTTCAGGATGGAGATCTGCTGCTCGAGCACGATGAAGTCTTGCTTTGCCGTGTGGAAACCGGGGGCAGAAACCTGAGCAGCGAGCAAGAACAATTTCGAGGCTGCACCTTTCATGTATTGTTCCGCAAGTTCTGGCATAGGCAAAAATTATGAAACAATAGTAAAAGCCATAAATGCCCACGAGCTGCATATGTCCAGTCGATTTTGCATCAAGGAACGGAAGAAAAAAATGGAAGAAAGATTACCATGAGTCGCTAGAAAAGAAAACGTTAACATTGATTTCAGGGGTGATCCCGCGATCACCGGCCGGCATTAGCAAATAGCTCGTACACCCTCATCTACGGGTTGTGCTCTCAATGCAAAGAAAGTGTGCGCAAGGTGCTTATCTCCCTGGAATAGGCCGTATCCGCTCAAATTAGCATTTTGTAGGGTTGTGCGAGATTCGATCTAAAAGAGTTAGCTGCCAGCTTTATTTCGTATACTACTACGATTAGTTTATTTTGCATTCATGGCTTGGCCCTTGCGGTGAAACCAATTTTTTTTGTTTCAACCTCTAAGAAGCTTCTGCTGGGATGTTCATTGCATTGCTTGTGCAGATAAAATGGGGGATGTAGAAAATGTCACATGGAAAGCATTTGTTGTGTACACCAACAACGTCGTGTGAAGAAGCATACGAAGTTCGTGAGGGACGTTAAGGACCATACTTGCGAGCTCGCATAAAATTCGGCTAATAATAAGAGCCCTCGTATTGTTGACCACTGCGTTTCTTGCTGCCATTGCTGACCGCGCTTCTGCAGCTTGTAAATGGCAGGCAGACGTAAGCAAAAATTCGTTCGCATAACATTATAGGTACTTCATTATATGATAAAATGGGGTCCGGATTGGCTAACACATCGACTTCACTGTACAATGCAGAAAGGAAGTTTGATCTGCTATCTGCTGCATTTTCGTATTCGTCACTACACCGTGCAGCTTGTGAATACACTTGTTCTTTTGCCTTCAGTAAAAGCGGATGTCGATCTGCATCTGTGTCAATCTTCTTTTACGTTGCTCTGTTCTGCTGTGCTATTCATCGTGAATCGACCGATTCCATGCTACTTATACACCATGCATAAAAATTCCCAGTCACCACATCAACGCTTCATAAGAGGGCATCCAGTAGCAGAAACTTATCTAAGCGGCAGAAAAAAATATATTTTGCGAGAATCTGAGATAACTCCACACCTATGGTCAATGTGACCCGGAGAATTTATCCGCAACTGCCTCTCGACAAAGATGTTCAGAAGATTGCATTGGTACACATTGTAAATGACTAACCTCAAGTGTGTAACGACCAGGCCTGAGGATCCTCCAGTACTCTCCCCTGGACGTGGTCTTGAAGCCGATAGTGCGGTTAGAAACACGCAGGAAAGCCTTAACCACTGGGTTACCATGCTCATCCATAACAATGCCTCGTACGCCTGCAAAAGAAAACACGAGTAAATATTGTCAAATTAGTGCTGCCATGGGCCAGTGACAATGACAATGAAGCAGCACGAGTGTTTTTGTCGTAAAGCAGGTACAAAACAGTTGCCTTTTTGACAGTCGATAAAGTGTTTTCACGGCCTACATAATAAGAAGAGGAAGTCTCTCTCAAAGTGGTGCTGCACGTCCTCATTGATGCTACGTCAATACAATATATATGTTTTGTTCGGCACCATGCGTTCTGGTGAGCGCATGGAAAAAACATGAGAATCAAGCTTCAGTCATCAGCCAAGTCCCGGTCCAGCTAGCAGCATCTACATGGCCGAAATACGTGCGCTGTTCGAGCGGCATCACAAGGATGACTACAGTACATGGCATAGTATTGTTTACTTTCATGGTGACAACATCAGGCTAGGCACACGATTGTTGCAAATACAGCCCGGCCGCTCTTCAGAAGTACAAGATAAAGAGGCGGTTCCACGTTTAGCTAGTGAAGATATATTGTTGCACCTTCCTTTCTGAAGGGACACCAATTTAGCTGAACAGTGCAACGAAGAAACATACTGAGTATGTGCTTTAACTACTCTAATTTTTATAGTGTCTCCCCAAGAACTTTTGATTGTTAAAAGCATTGTTTTACAGCGAAAGCTGCACATGGCTAAACAAAATTACTAATCCGTCGCCACAAGAAATTATAGTCTTCATTGGCTGCACCATCAATTACCTCGTTCTCTTCATCGCACAACAAGAGCGCACGCCCCGTTAGTGACACCATTCTCTGAGTTGTACCCAAGAACGCGTGCTATTTTCTGCACCATCAGTGACGGTGTTCATCCCTTCGCAGCAGTGATGTCGACCCCACACGCAGCAGTTTCAACTTGAAACTCCCACATGCGCAAGGCAGGGATCGCATGAATGCCCGAACAGCAGACAACCTTCTAAGAACAGCGCCGTCAGTTGATCTGTGAGAGAATTCATGTTCGCTGGACCAATGCAGCAGTCCGGGCACAAGAACAGGTCTCGGTGGAGAAGCACAGGCAGCAAGCAGCAACTGCGCACCGATGATCCGGCAGCATTTTGAACTGAATACAAGGGACAACAGCACGCCGAGGAAGCGGTGTTTCAATGCAGAGCAGGGTCTACGTGGCAATATCGGGAACGCGTTCGGCGGGGCCAAGGTCAGCTTTCATTCGGAGTTTTTCGAGCGGCACTTTGGCTTCGGCTGCAACGTCTGAAACCCCCTGTGGCTGGACAATTTCGCTGGTTAACCATCTGTACAGAGTACTTGTACGATGATTTTTTGTAACGACTTTCATGAACTGATATATCCATCCAGCTGTGCACCGTCGTGAAGTTAATATTTAGCCATAAGCAACACAATTTTATGTCCCTATGTCTAATACAAGCAATCAAATCATGTGCTTTTTATCTAGCAAATGGAAAGAGTCAGGCCCACCTTTGTGCACCTCTCCCAAGTAGGCAAGCAGCGACTGCTTGTTGTCATCCCAGAAGCGGGGCAACTCGCGGCGATGAGGAAACTTGCAGCAAGATATCTCAAACGTCACTTCCATACAGCCTTCCCAGATGTAGTTGTAATCCTGCATGCCACCTGAGCAAGAATTCAAAGTAGGGAGCTCATCATAAATTTGCCATCAGCTGTTTATCTATCTATCCATCCATCAATATACTTTCACCTTCGTCACTGCAAGGCCTCAAAGCAAGGAGGACACATAGTTTTGGCGCTTGAACAAGATGTTCAACGTGTGGAAAGTAGCATCATTTCATCTGCTATATACAATGGTCAGCACAATTAAACCACCATTTACTTATAACATAAAACAATAATGAGAATAAGTTTAACATGATGGTGCTCGGAAAGCACGTACCTGCAAGGGGATACCAGGCTGCGCCATTGGTAGTTCCGTTGGGGAACGCTTGGCGATCCGAGGAGCAAGGGGCACCCAGGTACATGTTGGCATGGTTAAACGAGTACACGCTGGCGATGTGCTGGAACACGTCGTCGTCGGGTGTCACCGATGGCTTGTTATACGTGTGAAACACTGCGTAGTACCATGCAAAGATCCTGTGAGAAGCTGTGAAACTCATGAATGCGACACAAGTGGCCAACCTTTTGTCAGCCTTTATGCGCGATTTATTTCGGAATGTCCTGACAACCCACAGTTGTACTCCACATGTCATCCGTTCTTATGCTCTTTTGATCACATGCTTTGTGAAATGCATTTGAGTTCTGAGTAGCTGAGATCTAGGAAAGTTGAGCTGATGAGCGCCCCCCTCCCCCCCCCTCGAAACAAGTTGGTAGCTCTGCCTATGAAAATCTGAAAGAGGAAGTCCCTTCTTATATCGAGGGCCCTCTGGATGGCCCGGACTAGAGTGTAGAGGTGCATGCTGTGGAGGCGCCAACGCATTTTGAACTATGATGAAGGAGCAGTTGGAGGAACCTCTGCACTCAAGTCCAGGTGGTCTAGAGGGTTCTTGAGATCGCGGCGGGACTGCCCGGCCAACGCGTCTTCATTGCCGACGAAGGAACAGTGGGGAACCCTTCCAGAGCAGCACCTCTACATTCTAGTCCAGACTGTCCAGAGGGCTACCGACATTACGGCAACACAGCCCGCAGAACGCCTCTCCACCTATGATGAAGGCGCAGTTGGAGGAACCCCTCCAGTGCAGAACCTCTACACTCAAGTACAGGTGATCTAGAAGGCCCACAACATCACGGCAGTACAGCTCAGTCCTCTCCTCTCCACTGATGATGTACGAGCAGTGAGAGGAACCCCTGCAGAGCATTCAATGCTCATAGATCCGAGTTACTCAGGACTGAAGTATTGATTTTCAAGTCATGTTGTGAACAGCAATGCGGAGAAGTTCACGAATATTAAGCTTGTGGAAGGTGGCGGCGTCAGCGAGGCTAGCGCAATTACCAGTGCTAAAAATATGAACTCTGACGTAGTTAGCACATGCATGATTGCGTATGTGAATTTATTAACACGAGCCCACGTGTAAGTAACTCTATGAGGCAAGCTTTATTCTACACAGAAGGAAGAAATAGTCACAAAGAGCAACTTGTCACTGATGTGGAATTTTGTGGGGTTCCAACTCAGATCGTTGGCGGGCCAGTTGGTACATACCGAGCGAGAAACAGTGTGCCTGTACTGGACAAAAAGTTACATGAAGCACACATACACAATGCTAACAACTAAATTAATTGTCACGAGACTGATCAAAAAGTAGAAGGTAAAGGGAAAGGGAAAACATACGTGACGTCACAGCACCAGCAAAGTGAAACACTTTCACTATCAGGTCCTTCACGTCTACACCTGCCCTCAGCTTTGGGAAGCCTTCTAAATTCAAAAAAAGAAAACAAACAATTCGGTAGATTCCACGTGCCTTCGAAATCTGTTTTGTGAAGCATGCGGATGGAATATAACTGTGTTGTAATTTTTTTATTGAGTGACACGTTACGAAGTGGTGCTAAAGATATCTACAAATGTACACAGACACATGTTAAACAGCTGCATATGTTTTATATAACCAGTTGTTTACAGTTGCCTAACGATGCCAACAGCAACATGGATACTACCAATACCAGTAGTGGTAAGCTGATATAAAGCCCTGGTGCTCGTGCTGGTATTCGCCGAGATGGTAGCCTTGAAGACCGCTACATGAATCAACTGCAGTGGACGATACCTAGCTCATACAGTTGACGTTTACCCGACCTGACGGCTTCATTATAGCAGTACACATGGAACTGTTTATGAAAGTGGATAGCCAGCACTACAACCACAATTGACATTTCAGGAAAATTAGGGTCTTACACGACAGACTGCTTCCCCCCTTGTGCAACTCAGAAAACACAAGAAAGCAAGAAAGCCTTAGGCATCACGTGAGCTCTATAACAAAAATAAATCATGCAACGCGTTCTTCCAAGGTTTTCTAAAAAGTAGAAGCGAACATGATTTTCAAATGTTTAAATCTGAACTGAAATAACATAAATTCAGATGATACACGTGCCAAAAAAGAATATTATTTGCATAGGTTCACTGCTTTATAGGTAAATTGAAATCTCATGTCGAAGGCGATCAATGAGGTAATGAACAGACTTCCTGAAACAAAGTTATAGTCCAACGAAGCCGAGTGTGAGACATTCGGATTGCAAATGTATTCAATGCCAATTTTACATTTCACAACCCAATGTATCGACCTCTCCATCCGAACATATATCAAATAAATGTTGTTGTACTCTGCTCTTGGTAGCCATTAACGAACAGGAGGTCCAGGGCATAATCTCATCATTGGAAAACAGTAATGTGGCTGGCACTAATGATGCAAAGGTGAAGCTGCTGAAAGCCGTCATCGAATACATAAGCATACCAGAAGTGCGTTTCGTTGGAATAGTTGGTCAAACATGGTGAAGGTATAATGGCGCAAGCTAGGAGAGACGAAGGAAGATCAATGAGCGCTTGTCCTGTCTGTTATTTCTTCCTTCACCTTTTCTAGTTTGCACTATTGTATCTTTATCATGTAAGCATACCTTCTTGCACATATCTTTAGTCTAATTCTTTCGAACGGCGTGTTCCCGGATAAAATCAAGCTGCCTTGAGTGACCGTTATTCATAAAAGTGGTTCAGTTATCGATATGATTAACTACAGGCCGATCTCTGTACTACGAGTTTTTGCGAAAATTGCTGAACACGTTATAAACAAAACATCGGGCGGTTTTTCAAACACGAAAAAAATACTTGCACAAGAGCAGTACGATTTTTGTAAAAATAAATCTTCAGAAATAGCCTTACTTGAAATAAATGAACAAATTCTTGACAACATTGAAAACCGAATGCTAAGCTAACCCTTGGAATATTTCTTGATCTTAGAAAAGCCTTTGATTCACGCAACACAACGTTCTTTCCAAAAAACTACCTCACTATGGTATTCGTGGCGTCGCCTCATCTTTAGTAAAAAGTTTTATAACGGCAATAACACAGTACACAATGATAAATGACGCTACCTATGAAATCCAGTCTATTAAGTAAGGCGTGCCCCAAGGCTCTGTTTTAAGACCTGTTCTGTTTTACAGCGAAAGCTGTTATGAGATCAAAACTCGTGTCACGTGCGGTGCGAAATCGGAAAAAAAAAACATCGTACCAGGATCTGGTGGGGCCTAAACCCAGGTCCTACTGTGTGCGAGCCCAGTATTCTACCACTGAGCCACGCCAGTGCTTGGGGCATGTTCGCAAACTTGCCTTAGGCAGGCTTGATGTTGGCAAAGGAATCGCGATTATTATGAGTAATAAAGTGTTTTAGTACAGCAAAATAGCAATAAGTCGTCACACAATGTGAATAGCGTACCGAGTGCATCGTCCAATGCTCCAACACACTATAAAAGCTTATTCTTGATCATCTCTTAGCTGTGGCGCATACCCACTTGAGGCATAATTCCTCATCGTCGTCAGCCACTGCATGAACAATTGGCACATGACTCCTTGCAAGTGTTTAGCAGATACCATGTTTCTCAGAAGAATGACGAAGCATGGCATAGTGAATGCCGGCCTACTACCCAGAAATCATTATTAATGCCATAGTGGGTACCCAGCAAGTGTGCTTGCAGCAGTTACCCAATGAGTGTTTAGAAAAGGCTATGAATTAAAGGCCACTCTTCTAGCAGTCGTTGTGACTGTGCACCTTTGGTGGAGGCCTGGCGTTTTTTTTTGTATATTAATATTATTGTACAAGTGCAGGGCGACTCTAACATTCTGGGTGCATTCGTTTCACCTGCACTTCGTGAACCGGTTCACGGAGCCGCTGCACTGCAGCATTCGTTTCACGAGTTCAACATGGTGGCAGCGGCACCGAAGTTTCGTTTCGAAAAAGTGCAGCGGTAGTGCAAAGCGGGCTCGTGAATTCCCTGCTTCGGCTCGTGAAGTAGTGCCGACTCCGTGCAGTGGAGCTGCAGCAGACGACACCGAAGATTGCATTCGTGACTGTTTTAGCGATGTACATTAATAAAATAGTGAACATTTTTTGGTAGACACATGCCAAGCGACGTAAGCGGAGCCATCTTTTATGAATCACAGCCTCCGCAACCCTCGAGAGAGCAGACAAGTAGCATAGGGCTTGCACGACATCTGCACTCTCGTATTGATTTCCGCACCACCCGACGGCACCACCATAAACTAGTTCTGGAAGTGCAGGGTGAATCGAATGGTCCTTCCAATATATGCCGATGACACTAACGTGTTCTTATTAGGAAGGGAATTACACAATATTTTTGAACAGGCAAGCACCTTGATACAAAGGTTTGATATGTGGTGCAATATAAATGAACTTCTAATAAACGTAAGCTTTTTAAATCGAAAGGAACGAACATGGCTTCTGAACCTCAGCTACAATTTAAAAAATAAATAGTCAACAGTCAAGCACAGCGAAATGTCCGAGAGTTAAATATTCCATGAGGATATGTCCTGGTCACCACATATAGACTCCCTCAAGAGTAGTGTTGCCCGTGCTGTAGGTGCATTAAACAAGCTGTGATATTTGCTACCAACAAGCATGAAGCACCATATTTATAATGCAGTAACACATTCCTGTTTAGCATACTGTCTTCTAATTTGGTCAATCACTACCCAGTATAATTTAGTATCACTTCAAATTCTTCAAAAGCACACTACATGCAATAGAAAACTTTATACGTATCATCAGCACCAGAACGTACTATTGCAAAAATAAAATAACAAAGGTGTCCAAACCCTTTACATATATAAGCCATTCTTTGAAATTATGCGGCCATTTCAGTCTGACAAGCATTCCTGCAGAGTAAATGCAGTGTAAAAAGGACCGTCTAAAGCTTCAAAAATAGTTTTGTACCTACACCTAACACGTAGCAGAACAACTTATGATGAACAAAAAATTGTTGTGAAAATTTATGAAAACCTCCTCAATGACTATGCCTGAGGCACAGATCTACTCGATTCCGGAATCGGGAAGCCAGCATTTAAAAAAAAGTGGTAAGAGCATTATTACTTTGAGAGGACTAAACTGAAGTTAATCGATGAAGGCTATGATTCCGCATCAATGTTCGGTATTGTTTCAGATTTTTTTTATTTTTTTCCCTCGCATGTGACTCATGAGTCCTAATTTGTTATGTGTTGCCTTTCATTCATTCATTCAGTTCATTTTTTTTTTTCATCGGGAGTTTGTTTCCGCTTGGCCACCTGGGTGGGGTCTCGAGCCTGAACTGCAGCATCGGCTCGATAAACACGAGTCTTCGCGTGAATCAGCTCTCAGCGCGGTTCTTAGAAAGGTGTCTGCTGTTCGAGCGTCCTTACAATTCATGCACTCTTGGAAGTTGTAAGTTGAACCTTCCTGCAACGCTGAGCTGCCTCACGTACCCGTGAGCTCGTCACTTGATGTTCGTTCCTTTGCCTGTCGACCTGCGTGACAGCTCTCCTAGTGTTCTCAGCGACGCGCACTCGTGGAAAAGACGAGGTTGAATTATTTCCTTTTCTATTGCTCTTTCTTCCATCTTTTATATTGCTTTATCTCTCGCTCCCCATCTCTTTGTAGAGCTGTTGAAGTGACCTCCACTGTTAGACGGCACTGCATTTTTTTTTTTTTTCTCTCTTTCAAAGCCACTCCCTTGAAAATGCTGCACGTGTGCTCAGCGGCGCGGCTGCGGAGAGATTGCCGACGTCACTCGTGGCTCTCCCAATGGCGCACGCGCTTAGATGCGATGTAGAGAATGACGTAACTGACGAAGCCGCCCATAGAGACGTTTAACGTTACTCGTGGCAAACGGTTTTTCGCTTCACCTAATCATATACAAGTTTCGCTGTACAAAAAAAAATCTGGTTTTTCAAGAGCTGAGTGCATGTGTAAGGATGAAAAACTTGATAGTAGTGGGAGCACTTCGCTTTGCTAGTGCTGCGACAGCCTGTCATTTTTCTTTTCTTTTCTCTTTTAAATGCGAAGCGTGTTATGGTCGAGCTCAATCCGGTATGCAGCATGACCACCCTTACAGCAAAAGCGCGCCCCTCCCCGTCGCTCCTCTCCTACGCTCTCGCTTCCCAATGCCGTCGCTCGATGCTCGCTTCCCCCTCTCTCTCCTCTAGGCATCCCTCCCAGCGGCATTTCTGTCTCTAGACACAAGACTCTGATGGTCCCTCCAATCGGAGTCTCCTGTCTCTCATTGCCCGTTAGCAGCAACTTGCATGTTTCAGTAGAAAACACCGGCTCATCACTGCGCCTCCCCAGGTTTCTCTCCTTTGCTGCGCCACGATGAGCGCTAGCGTCAACGCCGCCGCCAGTGTAAGCATTAGTGCCTGCTGCTCCCCATCTATACACATAGTTCAAGTTAGTGGAACATGGTGTAATTTTTTTTTATGTCTCATGACATTCTTTATTGTGGGGTTAAAACCAAATCCTCAGGCCCACACCATAAACATATAGCACGCAGTGCAAATTAGAAAAGAAAAATTAACAGGGCAGAGCTAAGTGAAATTTAGTGATGTCTCGTGACAGTAAATTCAGTTGTTAGCACTGTGTATGTGTGCTTCTTGAAACTTTTTCGGTAGTCTAGGCACGTTGTTGCTCATTGTGGGGTTCGCCGTGGCATAACCAACGTAAGAGGCGCACCGTATTGTGTGCCTCGTACGGGCACACAACACGACGGGCTTAATTTTGCTCACCCGGTCTTTAAAGCGCACCAAAATCTAAGCAGCTGGGAGCTCTTTGCGTTTTGTCCCAATGCCATAGCTGCGGGAATGGAACCTGTGCCCTCAAACTTCGCAGTCAAATACCTTAACCACTGAGCTACCAAGACGCGTATTGGTGATCTTTGGTTGGCCTATACAGTCGTGTACACGATAGATGTTTCCAGAGTTGCCCCCTTCTCATGTGCACCATCACCAGAAACATTAAGGGTGTTTCCCACATCAATTTCTCCGCTTCTGAGGCTTTGTGGGTGATACCTTGGGGCAGCTCATACGTAAAACCTCACCAGAACACATTTGGTTGCCTATCTTAACTTCTACCGCAGCTGTGCCCAACGATTTTGTAAGACAATGATTCTTGGCAGAAGCATCAGCGAACACGCCAGGCTTGCCTTGGAGTTGCAGGTGAGGTGACAGTTTGTAGTAGCGTACCTGCATTAGGCGAGTTGTCGAATGGGTAGGACGCAACGACGGCACCACCATGGATGTTTCCGGACAGGACAAACGGGATCTGGTGAATCCAGCGTCGCACAGCCTCCGTCTCCGGCTGCTGCTGCTGCGTCTGAGTCTTGAAATGGTCCGGGAAGTTGCGGTTCAAGTCCACGCCACGAGCGTTGTACCTGCGCCATCGGAAAAGTTGACAGCGAGCATACCTAGCTTAGACTTAAGGAATCTTATAGGACTACCCTGTTCACGGAGTAATGAATTGAGAGGCTCCCTTTTTGGATTCCATCGCTCATATTGTTTCTGAGCAATCTTCTAATATTTGTATCCAAGAAATAAAGATTCCTCTGCATTAGAAGTGAAATTCAGGGAGATAAACTAAAGACAGGCTATCGTACATTTAGTGGTTTGAGGCATGTGGCTGCAAGTGACGATTTATTGTTCTTTAAAAAAAAAGATGGATGTGTTGTAAGTTTGCGCAAGTGTAAAGCAACATGTTATGTGGTCCCGGTTTATTGTGTGCTCATGTGCAGCATGGCCCACTCATTAAGATTAGTATAATTAGCATTTCGTCGCGAGTAACAGTCAGACCTTCTAATATTTCCAGACATTCCCTTTTTTGCCTACGTTAATCTGAAGTGAAAATGAATTCCCGACAATTACAATGCTGCTTAGTGTCAATTTTCCAAGCAGCTTCTTGTTAGGGCAAGGCCAACTGTGTTTCGAAGTTTTGGCTGCCCGCAAGGTATCGCACACTCCATAAATTATAACTTTTGTGAAGTAGGGCAGCGCCTGCTATGCATTTTTCTGCGGATAAATGAGGTACCTACTACATGTATGCAAGGTTCTCTTTGTGGTTCTCATGTGGCAGATGACGGTGAAGAGTTGTGGCTGATCACTTCGCCGAGTGCGGGAAGCAATAAACCTTACACTCAAGTCACAGTTTACAGTGCGTGATGACTGGTTGTCATTTTACTCGTCTGCCACGCTATATTGCACATAGATTAACACGATTCTTTGCCCGACATGACGCCTATATTCTTGCAAATCAGTTCGAATCACCAGCGTGGCTCCGTGGTTGAATACTCGACTGCCGCGCAGAGGTAATACTCGATCCCGGAGGTATTTCTTTCTCATTTTTTTTTTTTTCGTGTTTATCGGCTGCGTCACGAACGGCAACAGCGAAATCGCTCAACAGCAGTAACAGGCGGCTAAGAGCTTAACTCATAGAAGTTCTATAGCACTTTTAACATCTGAAGACGCGATCCTACATGGTAATGCATTATGTTATACAATATATGGAATCAAACTTTTTGTACAGCCATTTTTCGCTCAGGAGATGCTGCAGCTACCTCTTAAGGACTTTAGCCTTAGAACTTGGCCTTTCATCGCTGACCGAATCGCTGAAGGATAATAACATGTAGTTTATGAAATTCGTGCTAAAACGAATAGTACTGCCCTGGGCTATTTTCATTGGCGCTATCTCATACTTACTGTCACACATTGTGCTCTCTTCCCTCATCATGACTCTATGCTGAGTTGTGCCGTTCGGAAAACTATATACAACAAAACGAGACATTTGAAAGTGTTCGTGCCAAAGAAAGGCAACTCCCGATTGTCAGATGTTCAGCGTACCGCCCAAGAGTGCCGGTACAGGCTCCCTCCTTGGAGATCTCGTATCCATCAGGGTTCATGCTGGGCATGATGTGGATGCGCGTGTTGTCCAGCAGGTAGCGCACGTACGGGTCCACGTTGTAGCGCGTCAGAAGGTGCGCAATCAGGTACACCATCAGCTGCCGACCGACAGCCTGCACATATTTGTCGTTGAAGTGCACGAGCTTCAACAGGAGCGCAACTCACTCACTAGAGAAAGTTCGCATGGTGGCTCACAAGCATATACTGCTCCAGATGATAAAGAATGAACTTGTATACAGAATGGACGACTCAAAGAGAGCAATCGAACAGAGCGACAGAGTACAAGAGATGCAGGAAGGCTAAACAGACAATATTCAGTTTACTATAGTCTGCGGGAGAAGGCAGTAAAAATTAAAGAGAAAGCATGAGTGTACACATTTTGCAACACATGCACAGACAGTGCGATTGCATATGTGAAATGTGCGAATCAAACTCTGGAAGTTCAAGTGAGTGAAACAGGATATTCAGTTTAATGAGAAGGGGAATGGGAAGGTTTTACTAGGCTTATTGACAAACTGCAGAATCATCACAATCGCTAGTAACAATAACGGTGGCAATGTTAATGATCATAAGAAAAACTATGGACCATCTCCCAGACGGTAACCGTGATGGGATGCAAAGCAGCAGCGGTGCGCACGGCGTTGACCCGGGTGAAATGGGCGTCGACGCGAATTCTGGAAGACCGGTTTGAAGCAAAACTCGGTGTAGCGTTTACTCGAGTATACGTTTGTTTGAAACGCAAAGACGCGGGAGGCAGGACGCGTTGGAGAAGCTTGCGCTGGCTTCCTTGGCTCGCGTCTCGTCAGTGTTACCCGCGCGCCGTCTGTATTCTCGAACGCGATTGGTGTTGTTGACTTGCACCTCGTCGGTGTCGCTGGTCTTACACTGCCGACGCTTGCGTTCGGCTTTTCTGGCTCGCGCCTCGTCTGTTTTGACGTCGCCATTTGCGAACGCGATTGGCTTCGCCAATCTTCGCTACGCCAGCGAGAGCCGGGAAAGGTACGCGCATACTAGCGGGAAGCATGCCGCGACGGCGTCCCCCTTCGTCGGTGCGATCGCGCGGCAAGCAGCGGCGCGTTGTTCACATTGTCGGCACAGCGATATTCTCGAGGCACGAACCCGCCAGCTCGTGGCTTCCTCCCGCCGACAGATAGACGTCAAGCCCAAACCACATAAGCGCGAAAATGCACGCGACAACGACGAGCGACGAAACAGGGCGTTCGCGCGACGTGTCGCGTGCTCGTTTTCGCGCAATCACTCGGTTCTCCAGTCTGGAGACTCCAGATTAGGAAACCGTCGCTCACCGCCCGGAAGTGCTGGGCTCTAGCAGCCAATAGCGAAAAACCGGAAAAGACAAAGACTACATAGGTGCACGTGACCCTGCCCGAGACACGTATGCGCAACAAAAAATAACGCAATGTTTATTACGCATGTGCATATAAAGAAGTGCTGCAAGGCAATAATAAACACTTTCCGTTTCATTACACAACAATATATCTTATTTTTATATTGGAAACCGCTCGCTACGCGGTTTTCTTGGTGCGAGTTGACGGCTTCATGCCAGCAACAGTGGAATTCGCTCGCCGAAGCCGTGGCGTGAATGAGGTTTGCCTGCGCTAGCGACTGATCGCGCGAAGACGATCTACGTCGCGTCGCTCGTCGCTGTCGCGTGCATTTTCGCGCTTATGTGATTTGGGCTTCAGACTATGGAGTTTTGCGGACACACAGCGCTACCTGTCGACGCAGTTTTGAGTAGTGCAAAGCCCGTCTCCCTTGCACAGTTTGCTTCGCAACCAGGTGCAACTACAGCGTATGGAACAACGATTGAGCTAAATATTAGGTGTATTTGCGCATTGAACACTTGGAAAAAGGAAAGAGCTACAAATTTCTCTTCGCTAGTCGAACGTCCTTACCGAAGCGCCATAAAGTGCTTGCCGGCTCATTCGCCAGAACGATGGCAAAAACAGCAGACGCACCAGCTCTGCGCTCTACAAAAAAGACCCCGGTCGACGACTACTGTTGCGTTGTGAATTGCCACGGAGGTAAAGGAATCCAGTTTTGCCGATTTCCGCAACTTTCGCGAAGCAGTAAGACGAGAGCGCTAGATACGGGCCCGTAGAGAACGTGTTGGGTAAGCGAATTACTCCCGTTCCTCACAGCCGGTTTAAAGTGTGATAAGGTAGGTGATATGATAATGCGACCGACCATTACCACGGAGAGCCGTGATAACTTTGATTATGAAGCTTAACAGAGGCTCCGACCGCGGGGAGGGCGGTGCAACAGTAGACAGGTGACGCGCGCGAGGAACATCGCACACGTCCGCGACCACCGATAATCTAAAGTGATTGCCACCACACAGCATTACACACGTAGGGTTTGAAGGCTTTAAGTTCCGGCTTTATCTAGGAAATGTGAACACGTACGTCACACAGGTAAATCGCGAAATGATCGTGACCACAATCGCAATCTTCTTGCCGTTGGTCTCCGCGATTGCCGGAGCTATCTCGGACGCCTCGGTTTTGCCTTTTGTTGTTCACTGTAAGTGAACACGCATTTATCCCCATTTGCTGTATATATATAGAAACGGAAGACAAGCGGAAGACAACTTAACATTCTAGCAATTGTTAAACGCATAGGAAGCGAGAGATTGATAGAGAATGCAACTGCAAAGACGAAACTCGTCACGGCCATTTATTCCGGATAAAGCGAGCTTAGTACCACTGATCGTCAGATAGTTTGCTCGTTCATGTAGTTCGTCGCTTTGGTATCATGTGTATGTATGCCCCAGTTTAACGCATTCAGGCAATAAAAAACGCATGCCGGAGTGCTTGCCTCGAACTCAATTTTATGCGATGCTCGCTTGCACTTAAGCACACCGAAATAACTGAAACATATTCTGTGTTGTACCCGCAGTTCGCTTTGATGAGCTTCCTACTTTTCTGAAGCGAGGTTGGATTGACGGAAGAAGCTTGCCAGGTCTTTGATTTTTCAAGAAACCGTCCTCAAGAACGACGAAACCGGAGGGCCTATGCACATTCGCTTGCGGACGGCTCTCTTTGCACTATACCATTTATGGCCGGCGCGCCGATGGGGGTGCTGGTGGCAGCATTTTTCACAGCGCCCGCCACCTTGGCATTTTGACGTGCATGGAGAGAGGTGGTGCGGGTGAAATGATGCATGACCAGACAGATCGTAAGACAGATCGTAAGATGCATGCCGCTACAAAAAAAAAAAAAGCAATTCTGAAGTCAGCGAGCAAACATCGCAATTTCCTGATCTTTGGGGATCTTGCACACATTTATTGACACACCACCATGTATACGAGAGAACGTTTAAAATAACTTTAGTATAAAAAAATCAAGCTTCGTACCTTCAAGAAAAAAAAAAGGAAAAGATCTGCAAAAGCAGATCCGGTAACTTTCTTGTAGAAAAACAAGTATGGCGTGACGATTCTGGTCACGCCAGTGTGCCCAACTTGGATACTTCTTTCCGGATAACGCTCACGTTCTGTGGGACTGTCCGGGTGGTCGCGCAGCCATGGGCGAGAGCCTCAAGCACATACCTATAAACCTAAGACCTGCGACCCTGGAGGAGTGGCTGGCGGAATCCTCTCCAGACGCCATGAAGACACTGCTCCAGAGTTTGCAACTTCTAGGCCTGTCTGATGAATAGGCCCTTTGTTTTTTTGTAGACCCGGACTAAGGTACCTTTATTTTTAATAAAGCTGTTCTCTTCCTCCCTCTCTCTCTTTGGATACAGGCAGTCATGTAGGGTCAAACAACTTTCGGCAAGTATATTACATTTCTTTAGTCACAGAATGCGCTGCGCCAGGAAAGGGGGTCGCTCTGTTAATCCGAATTAAACACTGCCATCGCAGAACTATTATGGCTTTTGAACGCCGATTTCTTTGAACTACACTGGGCAAGACGAGTCGACAGAGGAACAAAAGACAGCGTTCTGCGAAGTTAGGATGGTGAGAAGACTCCGACGAGGGGATTTCTCGCTAGTTTTGCCGACCCCGAAATGCGTTCCCATGCGGAGGGTGCTCGAACGCTGCTGACCGACACGGAAGCCGCCTTTCCATCCAAAGCCATCCGGTGCACGAGATTGGATCAAGCCCAACATCCGGGGCCTTTGCCCCGCACTTGGCACACCCACTCCAACTGCGCTCAAGGGGTTGACAACTTCACGAAGCTGGCGAATTGAGGCATATGTACGGATAAAGAACACAAGTAGAAAAAATTTTCAAATTTTACTTCGGAGCTGAAAACGTATATAATGTGCAAAAACGTGCAAAATATCGACAGCGAATATAGCTTAGAATATATATTGTATGAATTTGAAGTTACCTTGCGCGATCAACCGCAACTTGCGGTATCGACACCTTCGAAAGCAGCCAATCGGCGAGTAGCGGTACAGCGCCATCAAGAATATCTTCACTGGATACTGTTCGTATGTACTTCCATGAGACAACGCCATCTATTATACTGTTCGGGAGATACTGCTTTCTTTTCTTTCTCGTCTCTTCTTCTGCCGTATACGCGTAACGCATGGCAAGGTTAGAGTATGAGGAGCTTCACCCTTAAAACGCGAGGTTAAAATTTCTGTGCCAATTACCCATTAAGGGACCGCCCTGTCGTTGTCTAATGAACCGCGTCGGCGTCGCGCAGGTCTCGCGTTTGATACACGTAAGCCAAGTAGGCTACATGCCAGAAGCACCAGCGCTTGCTTTCCCGCAAAAACCATCGTCGGGGAAGGGCTATATCTCGGCTGTCTGAGCCAGCGAAGCGAAACGCTGCAGCGTCGGGAGTTAGACGCACCACGCTCGGAGTAGCAAACAATAGCGAAACAGTAGAAAAGAGACCATCACAGAAAACAGATAATCATAAAGCAATTGAGGTAATAAAAAGAATAGAACAGAAAATGATATAATATATCATATAATCACACGAAAACCACAGCACAAAACACAAAAGAGCAAACACATGGAATGAGAACATAAGGGCAGCAAACAGAAACAGAAACTAGGAAAACACGGTCAAATTAATACCACGCAGATCTTACAGTTTTCATTTGGGAGGTAACTGGCTTAGATATTTTTTTTTCTCGCGGTTTCATCGTTGAAGAGCCGCTCGCTTCAAAAGAGACAGAGGCCTTAAACTCCGCCATCAGCGTCTCATTGGTCGACCCTGAACGAGGATGCTATTCTGGACACTGTCGAATTCCGTAGTCCTGTCGAATTTCGTAAGGATGGTATTTTTCAGCCAATCAGAGCCTTTCAGTCCAGTCGGAGCTCACAAATGGCGGAATTTCCCTACATGGTGCAATTCGAGAGTTCAGGACGTTCAAGTATCCGACCAAAACCCTGCGACGCAAGCGTCGGTCTGAATGCAAAAGTTAGCGATTTCAATCGCTCGAGAAGTGCTAGGCGTCACAAAAATAGGCAACGACTACTGGTCGGGGCATTTATGCACATTCTTTGTGGGAGAGATAGCAATGGTTGTGAGATGAGCCGCCATTCCTCGCTAGGTTGCAGCCGAGTATCGATAGCTTGCATGTGACGGCTCTAACATGGCGACTTATATGACCTCAAGACAGCATAATTACACGTTGTTTAATCTGCTTCAGCGTCATAATGTCGTCGCCGGAACGTCATTGTGTTTCTGTGCAGGATTAGCGAAGGAACCAGCATGCGATTGTACTGATTACACGAATGTGGTATCTCATAGTTGGCGTCCCCCAAAGTTGGTGCTCCAACGTGACTATTTTTGTCGTCGTCTCGTGTTTTGGCCCCGAGCCCGCGTCACTGAGGGTTGTGCAAACGGGTAAAGCCCACAGGCAAGCGTTAGTCTACGCATGCCGAAACGGGAAAGCGTGGTGGCCCACTGCCTTAAAGTCTTAACGAAAGCGAGTGCACAAGTGGAGTCACCTCGTTGCCGTGCATGTTGGCAACGTACTTCACGTTGGGCTTGAGCAGCGTCTCCTCCTGCGGATCCTTCGTTACCAACAGAACCCACAGGTCACGACCTGGAACCGCAAAACGAAAAGCTATAAGCGTCGAGCCAACAAAAACTATCCAGCTATCATTTTCTCTTCGCAGGGATAACTAGTTTCTGGGCTCGTTGAGTAATAGTACTCAATCAAGCCGTAGCAGCGAAAAAAAAAAGATTAAACTATCTCCCACTAAAGGGTACCACGTGGGGATGCGAAACAGCACTGGCGTTCACTTGTGTCTCCATTTGTATGTTTTCGAGTGTGTTTCATTTGTTTGTGAAGTTGCGAAATGTTGCACCGCTTATGCCTCCCCCCCCCCCCCCCACCCTCCCATTTGTGTGTATTACCGTGTGTCCGTGTAGCATAGCGAACACCCAGCGTGGGTAGGAGATTGCAAAGGTGCGAGCTCGTGCAGAGTTCATACTGAGCGCACAGCTGTCGCAGAGAGATAAACGGCAGAGGAGAAACGAAGCGGAAGGCACCGATCTGCCATCTCCCCCGCCCCGCTTCCTCGCGCTCACTCGAGGAGAGGGCCCTCGGCAATCTGCCCGCTCCCACACGGCGCATGCGCCAACTCTCACCCTCTGCTCACGCTCGCGCGAGGAGAGGGCGAGAGTTGGCGCATGCGCAGTAAGGCTTGTCACACCGCACACCGGATTGAGCTCCTCCATGAGCTACTTCGCATCGACAAACATTCATGGGATCCGTTATAGGAAGCCGCTGAGACGACGCGAAGGCGAAAGCCATCAACGTGGCTATTTTTCCATGCACACTTCACAATACACGAACACTGCTTCGCTTTTTTAAACTTTTGTCAGCCGCGCGACACAGGAAGTGGGCGCAAAGTTGGAGCAGTCGGGCAATGCCAGAACCGGATTATATTCGCGCTTTTTATTGTTTCCTTTCATCACGCAGATGTTTCAACAACGACGCTGTTTAGGCTGGCCATAAAAGCTTTCATGCGTAATGTGTACAAAACACTATCATCATCATAAACCTAGCACGACCTGCAAGCAGCCATATTAAACTTCTGAATCAGCTGCCTCAAGCCTTGTGCAACTCGGTGCAAGCTTCGTCATTTTTAAAAATCTTTTCATTCACGCAAACGCCACTGCCTCGAAGTGAACCTGCAGTTCGTGCTCGAGATCATGCTCACGTCGTTGTTTTGATAAGGTCGTGTTCACATAATACTTGTATAAGGCTTTCGCTTTATAGGGTGGGATGCGATTTTCAAAGTGAGTTTAAAGGTTCGGACATGCAGCAGCGGTAACGAAAGCTGTGGCCATGGCATGTTCAAGGTAATCTAAAGACACATGCAGGTTGCTTTTTTAAAAGTTAAAATAGTTTCAAATTGTGTCCGCGATTTCATTTTTTTACAAATGTATTTTTTAAGACTTGCTCTCTGTAGAGAATCGAAATTTAGCATAAGGTAAACTACTAGTGCTTTGTAGAAGTGGACCTAACAGTGAGCATAAAACTAGATTTGTTCTGCTTCTTTTTACACTTGCCGATGTACGAAAATTGGCACTTATGAATGAATTTATGAATACTAAAAAAAGACTGATGAACAAGGCAATTGAATCTAGTTCCAGTTAGGTAAATGCTACTGCTCGACACATGTGAGAATTTTTGTTTGTTTACGCCGACAGTTACCAGGGCAGGGCATATGATACACGCCCTTCAGCTTCGCGTAATTTTTTTTAACTATTCGCCGCGGATGTCTGAATCGAAATTTGCGGTCCGCTCACCAGATGCGAGTGGCCCCGGTGAAGTCATCAAGTCTTATCCTTGGCATATCCTATTAACACCATCGCGATGAAAGCCGATTCCCCCTGAGTTAATGAATGGTTATTATGCACCTTGCACGGACTTTCCAGCGCTGTAGAGGCGCGTGAAGTCCGGATAGTTCGTGGAGACCTTCTTGAGGAAGTTTGTCATTTCCTCGTGGTTGAAGTAGGTGTACTCCTCGGAGCGCTTCTTCCCCGTCGGCGTGCCGGACTGTCCGCGCACTTGGCGCACCGCGCACAGGTAAAGCAGCAGCAGCGCCAGCGCCAGCGCCGACGCACATAAGCTCCGGGGCTTCATCGCAACGCAGCCTCCTCCTGGGCGAAAATCAAAGGGCGCTGCGCTCAATGATCGGAGAAATATTTTGTAGCCATGATAGCGTACAAACTCATAAAATATCAATAACCATAAAAATACACTCTGAAAACTAGAAGGAAAAAAGAACTAGTTAATGGAGTGCGTCGAACCGAACCCAAACCGTAAACCGCACCCGACTCACATTTTTTTTTAGTTAGAACTGAACGTCAACTCGAATCAATATTCTCGGAATGTGATGGAACCGGATGCGGACTTGGGGGAAATTAACACCTGTACTCGAACCCGGGATTCGAACCGAAGTGTCCAGCGTCCAAATGAGAGCGTCGTGACCTCTCAGCTGTCTAGGCACGGTAGCAGAACACGCATTTATTGGAACCATACTATTGTGTTGCTATGGCCGAGAGAACCAGAAAAAATATATTTAGAAAGCGAGGGAAGGATGACAAACATGAGAAAGAAAAAAAGCAGAGAGTGAGGAAGGGAGAGGAAAGCATAGCATATTACGCTATAGCGAGGGGTGGGAAAGGAAAGTAAGGGTGAGGAGGAGTGATTTCAGGATGAGGGAGAGAGAAAGGATGAAGTGAGGGCCAACAGCTCCGCTGTTTCTATTATCGTTGGTTTCGACAGTATCAGCCTAGATGCTACAGCCTAGATGCTATAATTTTCTTCTTTTATTTTTTTTTTTCAGAGTCATCTGTGAAAGTGGAGTGGAGCTCGAGAAGATGAACACCGCTTTAATTTTACCGAAAATTGAAATTGCTGCATATGTATCAAAATCGTTGCCAAATAGACGCATAAGGTCATTCTCTGGCTCATGTATATTATCAAAAGCAAAAGTTTGCGCGACGTTGGATCCACAACAAATGCGCATTTCTGTTGTGCCAGAGCCTAATGCTTGTAATCGAACTGGTGACTGTACAGTTCCGACTGCCCAGTGCAGTATGGAACATCAATTTCAAATTTACACTCTCAGACAAAACGGGAACTCAGCTTTATCGAGCATTTCGCGTCCCGCAAGCTTTTGCTGTTGATAGCATGTGTGACATAGATGCTTACAACCATTCAATGAATGTCTTCTAACGAAAAGTAACCCCTGTTACATTAGAGATCAGTTCCCCTAAGACATTTTCGAATGGCCCTACGCTACAAATACGAAAAAATTAAAGATCTTCGTTTGCTGTTGAGGTAAGAGTATAATTAGGGTGATGTGAGTCTCGAAAAATAAACATTGTTGTTGCTAGCAGCGGAGCTGCGCGTGTCGTCTTCCTTCTCGTGTCAAGTGCGCGCTACAATCGATTTCTCATGACTCACCAACAAGCCCATTTCGCAACTCTTGTATGCATTAACCAACCCCTTCAGTAGATAAAAGCGGGCAACCACGCCTTTTAGGGCAGAAATGTATATATCGGTGGTACAGGCGCGAGTGTGCCGCTATCCGGCGGCTTTGCAGCGTGTCTGTCTGTTCGTGTGGTTCTCGCGGTCATAAAGACACCTGAAACTTGGGATCATCGGACCGCGAGCGGGGTAAATGGTATATATATATATATCTATAATTATATATATATTATATATTTATATTATATATATACACACCCACACACCCACGGGAAGCCCGGATAGTGCCCATGAATTGGTAGAGCATAACCAACCAATTCTGATGCGCAAAGGTGGCTTCACGTCAGTGATTCATAGATATGCAGAAAAGCTAGCTTAGCGGCAATATGCAGGGATCATTGTTTAGAAAATTTTGCGCAAACCGTTGCAGAGATTGAGTGTTATGCGCGAGAAAGTACGGTATATCTTACAGTAAAGCCGGGACCGACAAATGTTGATTATGTAATCATACCACAGCGTCCCCGATTTCTCAGTTGTCCCGACGTAACAGGAGACAATAGTTTCTGTTTCAATTGTAGGCCGAACTATCAACCTTCGGAGTTCAGTTTTAGAGGAAATGGGTCAACCTACAAACGTCTAAGTACGATACAAACAATTTGTAAAATCAAATTTTGTGCAAGCTGAAAAAACGTAATTGAAAATAAAGGTACGACGCTTGTACCACGGCAAATTGAATGAATATTGGTTAGAGCACGCCACCCTGCAAGTGTATACAGATGTGAGTACACAACCAGATGTATTCCCTCGGCCATGTTACGTTCCGAAAACGTAGAACAGCAGGTCTTCTCCTAAATTTTAGGCTGTCAGCTAGTGGCATCGCCATTAAATAAATAAATCGGTAAAGATGTCTGCGATATATATACCTATATGGACATTCCACACAGGTACGAATAAATCAGACGAGGATCATTCTTTGACTGTCTAGAATGAGCTGACGAACCTGATGATTAACCTCCGTAATTAGAAAGCCTAAAGTATCACCTATTGGTCGAGGGTCAAGCGAGAGATGATCGTTCTGGCAGAGTAGCTCGGAATACGGGACGATGAGCACACAGGCTGCAGCGCTGGCTATTAACTGGTTTACTTGTGATAGGGTGAGTATATATAGGCAGGCGAACATGGAAAACGAAGAAGCGAAAATGACAGACGCAATCGAGTACCTTGGCTGGCCGGCAAAGCTATCAATTTTGATAAGGGTTTACAAGATGCCCACAAAAGTAGATTTTATGCCATTGTAAACATGAGAAACAAAACGACGAAAAAAGAAAAAAAGCATGACTTGGTGGCCTGTGCGAAATGGATTAAAACATTTCCATTGATTGATTTGTGGGGTTTAATGTCCCGAAACCACCATATGATTATGAGAGACGCCGTATAGAGGAGGGCTCCGGAAATTTCGACCACCTGGGGTTCTTCACCGTGCACCCAAATCTGAGCACACGGGCCTACAACATTTCCACCTCCATCGGAAATGCAGCTGCCGCAGCCGGGATTCGATCCCGCGACCTGCGGGTCAGCAGCCGAGTACCTTAACCGCTAGACCACCGCGGCGGGGCTTAAAACATTTCCAATAAAGAACCCAGTTGGTAGCGTTGCGTTCTGTGTGCTCTCCATTGCGTTTTCCGCGCTGTTCTGCCACAGTGTTCTTGAACCAACTAGCCCACCTAAGAAGTTTTGTGCAAAGATGAGACTTTAAAACAGGTTCCCTTGTTTTGTTTTCGCAATAACGCGTACACATGAGGCGGCGAAACGAGACGGCCATAGTCTATCGCCAAGGAATCAAATGCGAGCGAAACCAAGGAAAAGAGAACGTGGGAAGAATGAGTCTCGGCTCCCGACATGCACACGCGTAACAGACTTGACGAAACCTGCGCGAAGGACGACGCTAAGAGGAAAAACGTACCTGCTCCGACGGAAATCGTGTCGCACAAGTGAAGAAGCTCTTGTCGCTTGCGGAGTCGCAACGTTGAATGGAGAGTGAAAATACTCCGAGACAAATGAGTGCGCCGAAAAATGTTGAAGATAAATTAATGGCCATTCATATACCCGGGGACGAACATCAAGCTTATACAGGTGCGGTTTCGTGGGCAACGATTTTTAGGGGAAAATTCATGCGATGTTTTTACTCACTACTTCTGAACTCCCTCGCCACTGCTCAACAGAGAGGAAAAATTACTGTCACGGCAGTTTTACAGAAAAGCCACGTGAAAGATTTCGCTCCCGACGGTATAATGCTGGAGGAAGAACTTACTTTTAAAACATACACGAGAGACATAATAATCATTTTTATTAAGTGTAAAAGAAGTTCGTGAGCTGCTAGAATAATGAAGTAGCGCCCTTTTTCTTCTTTGAGCCACAGTAATATAAGCAATCCAAGTTCAAGGCAAACTACAATTGATTGAGCATTTTCATCGCACCATGTGGGGTAACTACAAACGCTTGAACATTTTCATCGCATCGTGTGCATGTAGTACGTCAGGGCGTCAAATGTATACAGGAAAGCTACTGAGTTTCAGTGCGGTTAGCCACCCAATGCTCAGCGATGCCAGGATACGAAACTGCGAGCATTTGTTCTATATCCTTTGTCCGACGCTATACCGTGAAAAATAGAGATCAAAATAAATGAAACATATGCTCTCAGAAAAAGTTTAAAAGACTGAGAGCGAAATATAATGCATTAGCCAGATCAAGGTCTGTCTGAGTTCACCGGGTATTGGCTCTGAAATACCTTACTGACCAGAACGAACGCCTACTCAAATCTATAATGATAATCACCATTTTCACCTTACCTAGCGATATCGAGTAAACGATAAAAACTTTTTAGCAGATACGATGTTAAGAAGGCGTCAATGCCACCCTACTCTATTCAATTACATTCCACAGATTTGATTACATGAATTGATAACAATTATTTAAGAATTATTCCGGTCAGACAATGTGTCGGACAGGAATATTGTGGCTGTTGTGACAAAACACTATTCAACGTGGCGTCCCAATAATACAATAAAAAGTTTAAAGTATACACACAATTGAATTTATCTAAAACTATAAGCAACTATGAAGTGGTCAGCTGGATACCAAATGAAGCATAAATAGGCCTCTTTATTGGAATTTTACGGCACCGCATAATCTCACGCAATGTTGTCGTTTATGCACTGCCCTTTTCACACTATATACGCTGAAGTACGAACGCCAGTTCACACTGAAACGTCGGCGGACTTTGGTACTCGTCGAAGAAAACAAGAGCGCTGAGAGGCAGGAAGGATGGTAGGTAGCCATTAAGTTCTGCACACGCGCTGGAATGTATAAATGGGAACCGAAGTTTTACCTTTCACTATTAAGGCCAAAGCCATAGTGCCTGATCAAACGTGAAAACTGACTGTCGGCGCCAGCACGAACGCGAGTGGTGCAAGATAACCAACATCACGTGATGACGTCTCCATATTACGACGCGACATTGCAGATCGTCCACATCTATGACGTCGCCATGAGGCCATCATGACGTCACTGTAACATCACATAACGTGAGGTGACATTAAAACGCCATAATAACGTGATATCGTCGCTTGAAAAAAGAAAAAAAAACTGGGGGACCCAGGGTCGC